AGATGAAAATGCTTGTTCTTGGGTAGAACATTGGCTTAAAAACAAAGTACAAAGAGTTGTCATTAATGGTAAATTTTCAAGCTGGACAGAGGTGGCAAGTGGTGTCCCTCGGGGGTCTGTTCTGGGACCCCTTCTATTTAACATGTTTATAAATGATTTTGAAGACAGCATTGAAAGTCATGTTTCAGTGTTTGCAGATGACACAAAACTCTGTAAAATAATACAATGTGCGCAAGATATTACTTTGCTGCAGAGGGATTTAGATAGACTGGGGGAGAGGGCACTCAAATGGTAGATGAAATTTAATGTTGAAAAATGCAAAGTTATGCACTTTGGCATAAAGAATACTCAAGCAACGTATACACTTAATGGAAGCGAATTAGGAATAACAACACACGAAAAGGACTTGTGAATTGTTATAGACAACAAACTATGCAACAATATGCAATGTCAATCAGCAGTGGCCAAGGCCAATAAGGTATTGTCATGCATGAAAAAGGGCAAATATAATTTTGCCTCTTTATACATCACTGGTAAGACCACATATTGAATATGCTGTGCAATTTTGGGCACCTGTTCTAAAGAAGGATATTATGGCACTAGAAAAAGTGCAGAGGCGGGCTACAAAATTAATAAAAGGAATGGAACATGTCAGCTATGAAGAAAGGTTAACAAATTTAAACCTATTTAGTTTAGAAAAACGTCACCTGAGAGGGTGACATTATACAAATATATTCGGGGCCAATACAAACCATTGTGTGGAAATCTATTCACAAACCGGACTTTACATAGGACACGAGGTCATGCGTTTAGACTGGAAGAAAGAAGATTTTGTCTTATACAAAGGAAACAAAGGAAAGGTTTTTTTACTGTAAGAACAATAAGGATGTGGAATTCTATGCCTGAAGAAGTGGTTTTATCAGAGTCCATACAGATGTTCAAACAGCTACTAGATGCATACTTGTAAAACAGAATATTCAAGGATATAATCTTTCAATGTAGGGTAATAACTACTTGATCCGAGGATAAATCTGATTGCCATTCTGGGGTCAAGAAGGAATTTTCCTAGCTTGTTGCAAAATTGTGCTTCAAACTGGGTTTTTGCCTTCTTTTGGATAAACAGCAAAAAACAAATGTGAGGAAGGCTGAACTTGATGGACGCAAGTCTCTTTTCAGCTATGTAACTATGTAACTATGTAACATTGTATGATAATTTACTCTATACAACATGTCAAAGTAATTTAACCAAAGGGATATTGTTGAGACAATATTTCTTGTTAGTATAACTGAGGATGTGATAAATCTAATTATTACATATCATATGAGGATGTGATAAATCTAATTATTACATAATCCATAGAACTTGTCAACGTTTCAGTTTACATCAGCAAACTTTCATCAGGACATCAAAGATACACACCTGCAAATTGTCACTTGGTACACTGTTCCAGGCAGATCCCTCCCACACAAGGATAAAATACTCCAATCATGTATGTGTCAGGGTCTGCGTGTGTATGTATGTCAGTGTGTATCTTTGTGTACATGTTTCAAGGTATGTGCATGTGTCAGTGTGTATATGAATTTGTGTGTATATGTATGTTAATGTGTATGTATATCTGTGTAAGTATATATGCATGTTCAGTGTATGTGCATATATCCAAGCAAACACCAACAGAACATGCAAACACATTCCTGCAATCTAACCTAAAATTACATACAAACACACCCCTGCATTCAAACCACAAACTTATATACAAACACACCCCTGCAATCAAATGCAAACATTACATACAGAAACACCACTGTATTAAAACATTGAAATTATATAAAAACACCTTTTCAATCAAAACCCAACACTAGACACAAACACATCCCTGCATTCATACGTAAACACTATTCACAAGTACACCACTGTTTTCCAATGGCAGCAGTAGATACATATTGTGACAAACTCCCCTGTCCTTGTGAGTTTGCCACAAACTCCTGGAGGAGCCTGCTTGCAAGTCTCCTGCCCACCGACTAGGGGGCCATGTCAGCGACTGTAAAGACCCATATTTTATTCCCCCTGGTTCCCCTGGTTCTGCATTTTCCATTAGTGCGTATAGAACCGAACGCTAGCTCCCTGGTGGCCCTTCGCATGGACCAAAACCACGAATAGACTTTAAGGGGACTTAGCCGAAATAGTCCTGGAACTATTTTCAGCTAGGGGACCATGCGTGCGGTCGGTCAAATTATGACTTCCAGGAAATTCCTGAACCGATCTGGGTGATTTTTGGATATGTTGGTCACCCAGATCGGGGCTATCAGGGGATCTAACCTTTGTGGGGTTTTATGAATTTTGAAGGTACTTTTGGGGTGTTTAGGGAATGTGTGTTTTTTGTGCTTGGAGATAATTGTGCTTGACTCAATTATCTCCCAGGCACAAGAGCGGGATTATCTTGTTTTGTATGGGAGTGTCCTGGACCTGAGAGCCAATGTAATCGTGTGTATGTTTTTACTGTAGTTTACTCTCAGGTCCAGCGGGGAGTGCCCCTTCCATGAGGATCTGCATATAATGCCAGTTGTGGCTGCCATTAAAGAGTTCCAGAGATATAGCAATCTCAAATTATTTCACTATATTTTGTGCCTTATCAGTGAGTGTAGCTGACAAGCCTCTAGGCATAGTGAACAAGGGGATTTAAAGAACAATGAGACCTTGTACAATGAGACCCTGTACAACTTGGTAGTTTGACCTTCTGTTAGTCCCACACAAATTATAGCTCTGTTGTGCCATTACAGAGGGAACCTATATTTATTAGTATTTACTATACTTATGAGACTGATCTAACCCCTGGGTACAGTTAAGAACTGTAGTTACAGTAACCCCACATTGTTTCAGCCATCTTTAAGTTTTTTCAATTAAAAATTCAATAATTATCATTATTTTTTTTACAGGACTGGTGTTTTCTTATGATGTAGGTAGCCAATAACTTATAGACACCTTTGGAGGTGGAAATGGAGATAGATTATTTTGAGCCAGTGTGCTTGGGGAGCCTCTGACCGTAGCACTCCTGGTCCTTTATTGGTCTAAGGCAGGGGTAATCAACCTTTGGCACGCCAGATGTTGCAGACTACATCTCCCATAATGCATTGCCAGCATTATGGCTGTAAGAACATTATGGGGGATGTAGTACAAAACATCTGGAGTGCCGAAGGTTGCCTATTCCTGGTCTAAGGCATTTTGGAACCCCCTATGGAAGCATGTAAGTCATGGATAGCACTTAGTATACCGATATCATAGTAGGTGTATAGAACCTTCATAGCAGCTAGAATGATGTTATAGAGTAGCCGATAATACCACATGATAGAAGAAGGGTTAGACACCTGGATACTGATAGCATCACCTACAGAAGCAGTAAGTATCACAGAGTGGGGGCAGTGTAACAGCTGATATCACACTCATTTAGTACTACTCTCACAGGTACATAGCCACAGTTATTACTGCAGCATAATGAGCATTTCACACTTTTTGTACAGAAATAAAGACCATAATACAGAGTTGGAACAAACTCCACAATCCTACAATACACAGGCTGTCTATAAAAATATTAAATACACATATCGCTTTATAAAGGGTATACTCATGCAGACCCAGCTATGATTCATGCTCACCTTTGCATTTTTTAATTACCTTCTTTCAACCTTACTTCTTATTTTACTCCACCTAACGGGACTCTCCAGACCCCTAAACACTTTAGCTTGCTGAAATGCTTTGTATGTAAAGAGTGTGTCCTTTTTTTTTATTTTACAAAAAGTGCAGATTTCAAAAGAAATTGGCACTTTTATAAATTAACCTTATTACACCCACTGGCTTCTCGTTGGAGGTATATCTGCTAAACAGTGTTGTTTTTTTTGTTTTTTGTATTTGAGTAGTGGAGTGTTCCTTTAAATGTTACTTTCTTTGCTATCCACATCTACACTATATGCTGTGACCAGAAAAATCATTGGTATCTCTTTATTCACGGAGAGTATTCTTCGCCAAAACGCCAAATTGCAGTGAGCTGAAAACAGTGTTTCAAAATTTAGACTAAAATAGTTGAAAAATAAAAAACAAAACTTTCCCTACTCAGCCATGGTCACAGTTTGGTAATTTTAGCCTAAATGTAGCAATTTAGTTTTAAATTAAATTCTGTGTGTTTAATGAATGTATCACATAACGTTGTTTAACTATTTAAATTACTGTTATTTTTGTTTCTGCAATTCTCCCTATCTTCCACGGTTTAAAGGGAAATGAATGTTACTTTTGTGCATTTTTATATATGTTCCTAAATCTATAACTCTCTTTCTCTATGCTACTTATAGATGTGTGTGTTGCATACACACACACATAAACATATATATTCCATTTATTACTCAAAATGAATATAAATATATGAGGCAGCCCGAAGGAAGGAAATAGTTAAGGAGCTATTGGTTCAGTAAAGAAATGTTCTTTTTTAGTTTTCTTTTCCCTGGTCTAGTCTAGCGCTACACGTGATCCTCTGAATGACTGCCAGCCTCTTTCTTGTTGATCCTCCGGAGACCATCTGTGCTGGGGGCATTGATTAGAGTGTGTCTGCCGGGATTACATCTTTTCTGTTGCTATGCCAACTAATCAGCTGATTTTGGTTGCCTAGGCAACAAAATGTCAGAGCTCAGAGTACGGTAACATGAATTCAGCACAACACAAAATGTTTTCTTAATTGGAGAGCCTTTTTAGATTTGGGAATTTATATATATATATATATATATATATATATATATATATATAAAAATGTTTTTACTTAAATAGGTCTTAGAACGCAGTCTAGTTCATATCAGAATTCCCATTAATTATGGACTTTAAAGTTGACACAAAGGCATTCAGCCAATGGAGTGGTGAAAAGTAAAAAAAAAATGTATTTATCTTTTTAAGATTTTTTAATTTTAACTATTATATATCAATTCAACAGGCAGTTTGTGTTTTCAAAGCAAAAGTACATTATCTGAGCCTCCAATTAAGATATGTGTGTATTTGTGTATATATGTATATATATATATATATATATATATATATATATATACACAAACAAACACACACATATCTTAATTGAAAGCTCAGAAATATATATATATATTATACTTTTTCCCAGTGGGGTATCACTCCTGGGGCCCTCATCCACATCTTCCTGCTTTACAAAGGAATCCAAAGAGCCTCCGCTATACTGTTGGCAGTGCCTCCACCAGACTGTGCATCCAGGGCATGGACGGATTTCAGAGGCAGGAACATGATAAATAACTACAATATACAGTGGCAACAGAAAGTAGTATAAACATGTATTAAATAATAATGGCAGATTAAAGAAAAATGCAAGGAAATGCAGTAGCTCCCTGAACACAGGCCCAGTACCCTCCCAAACCATGCTAGGCTCCCAGGCTTTACCCTAGTGGCTGATGGGTACCAGTTGGTGCATTGAAGTCTTGGGGTCCTTTAAGATTAAAGCAGCTGAAAGTCACAGTTTTTGGTGTTTTCACTGTTACTGCCATCTGCAGGGAAGGCTGTGTAACTCTTCATTAGCATCTGTAAATGACTCTATCATGAGCCCTATCAGTGTGACAAGTGGAAAGGATACTCCTTAACACTGTATGAAGCTGCACAGGGCTGCAAAGGGAGCACTAGGGTCTATCAGCTATTTGTTGTGTCTCGATCCACAGCTCTCTCATTGGGTCAGCTGCCGCTGGCCACACACACACTGGATCAGGGTGATCAGATGCTTAGTAGCTGAACCCTCCTTCACAGAGCATGTGGTCTCTGTGGAGCAATTTCACAGTCAGGCCTCACACTCCTACCTTCACCCCTGCCCAATGTCCTTCTTACCTAGTGCCGTAGGTGGGGGGGTAGTGGGGGTGCTAGGGGGGCAGATTGGCACTTTTTTTGGGGGTGTGCCACAAGTAATGGCCCAATGGCCTGTCACAGGGAACACCTCAGGGTGCCCCCAAAGTGGGTAATTATTTACTAAGGCATCTGCTTACCTGGATGGCTGGTGCCTACTCTGACCAAATACACTGGGAGGGAGAGAGGGGGCAGGTCATGGTGGCAAAGGAGCACTGATATTCTACTTGCTCCTCACTGCTCCCTTGCACACTCACCATGGTGATGCCAGGAGCCAGAATATGAACTCACTCCAACCCTGGTATCACTAAATAGCACAAGAGAGCAGTGAGGATCTCCCTGGATCACTTGGAGAGGACCCATACCAGCTTTAGCAAAGGTAGGGATGCTGGAAGGGACAAAAAATAAATCCACGAGAGGAGCAGCAAACTTAGGGTCTGCACCGGGTAGCAAAAGCTCACGCTATGCCACTGTTCTTACCCCGTGTTCCAACTCAGGTTTTTTTTTTCCTGTTTCCTGAATTGGTCACATGACCAGCCTGCCTCAAAGCTACATAGGTAACTTCTAACGCCAGTCACTGCATTCAGGTGCCAAAGTCCAATAGTCCCAGTGGTGCAGTAGGAAAAAACAAAACGGGGGGTGGGCTACATTCTCCATAAAATCCTTGCCTTCCACTGGTTTGGCCAGGAGACAAAATAAAAAATAGTAACATAATCCTGCAACAACTGTCCTAGCTTCACAAATGTCCCCTATCTTGCAGTCTACTCTAGTATTGATGTGTACCAACATTCACAATTTCCACAAATGCAAACAGAAACGCTATCATTTTAATTCTATATATTATAAAAATATTTACACACACATCTTTAGCTGTTTTTGAAAAGGAACAATGTCCCTTAGATCAGATTTCCAGAAAACGAGGGAGTCCCAGAGGTTCCTATAATACAAATAGATTATAAGCATCGCAGGATATTGACCTTTGACCTTTCTTTATAACTCTCGCTAGATGATTGCAAGTTTGAGCTTTTTGTGATAAACCTCGGAAACACATAAGCTCCATAACTAAGTCTGTCTGGGAATTTTAACAAGCTGACTCATACATACAAAACAATACTATAGGGCTAATAGGGAGTTTATAAAAAAAAATAATGTAAAAAAATAAAATAAAAAAAACACGAGCACACCTAGTAAAAACTTCTATTCCACGACTGCGGGATTATTTAATTAATTCATTTCATCAGTGGCCAGTTTATTAACCCCTTAAGGACGGAGGCAGTTGTACATGTTCTGAATCAAAACACAACCTGGAATTTGAGCTATATGTCTGTTTAATCACAATTTACCTCTTTCATATTGAGTGCACCCACACGCATTACATATCATTTTGTTCAGACAAAATATGGCTCTCATTTCACATCAAATATTTATATATGAAACATAATATAAAATGTATAAAATCTAAAAAAAAGTGTTAAAAATTAAGAAATGTTATTTTCTGAGTGCCACCAGTGGTGTATCCTGCTTTTGTGTTGCCCTAGGCAGGTCAAAACTCAGGCATCCCCCCACCCCCTTCCCCCACGCCACGCCACCCCTACCCAACCCCTCCCCTTGGCCCCACCTTCTAAATACATACACATATTCACTGACAGATACGCATACACTAGCTAACAGAAACACACACACACTAACAGACACACACACTCACTAACAGACAAACACACTAACAGACACACACACTCACTAACAGACACACACACTCACACACAGTAACAGGCAAACACAAACTCAGTAACAGACACACACACTCACTAACTAACAGACACACACACATACATACATACATACACACTAACAGACAAACACACTAACAGACACATACAGTCAAACACACACTAACAGACACACACACTAACAGACAAACACACACTCACTAGCAGACACACACACACACATACTAACAGGCAAACACACTCACACACTAACAGACACACACACTCTAACAGACATACCTAGTCAGACACACACTAATAGACACACACTAACAGACACACACTCACAGACACACACTAACACACATACTAACAGACACATACAGACACACACACACACAGTCAGACACACACTAACACACACACACTAACACACACACACTAACAGACACACACTAACACACACACTAACAGACACACACAGACACTCACATTAACACAATCACTTTTTTTTATTTAACCCCCCCCCAGCCTGCTTACTTTTGGGAATGCTGGGGGGGGGTTCTCTTTCTCCCTGGGGGTCCAGTGGCTGCTGGGCACTGGCAGGCGGCTGGCGAGGGAGCAATTTCCCCTGAGCTGTCTGCAGCTCAGGGGAAAGTGCTCCCTCACCAGCGCCGCCCGCCCGACCGCCCGCCTGCCTGGACTGTTAGCCGCAAGGCTAACAAGACATTTGCCCTGGGCATTTGGGGGCAGCTTTTTTTGCCGCTCCCTGGAAAATACCGCCTAAGGCAAATGCCTTGTTTGCCTCGTGGCTAAAACGTCCCTGAGTGCCACGTGACATTTTAACTGTGAATGTCATAATACTGTTAGCTTTTATTGCAATAAAATGCACATATTCAGCGATGTCTCACGAGTAAAACAGTACTGCCATGTCCAGAATTTATGGGGTAATAGAGAGTTACAGGGTCAAATATAGGGCTTTGCCCTTTTCAGATAGTTTTACGCCCCACCTCCTATAGAGTGTAAGCTTGTTTGAGCAGGGCCCTCTTCAACCTATTGTTCCTGTAAGTTTTTGTAATTGTCTCAGTTATTGTTAAATCTTCCCCTTTGATAATATTGTAAAGCACTACGGAATATGCTGGCGCTATATAAATACCAATAATAATAATAATAATAGACAGACAGACAGACAGATAAGATAGATAGATAGATAGATAGAATGAAAGATGGATGGTCTGGTCAGGATTCCCAGTTCTAAAGCAGTAACGTTACCATTGCTCTAACCAACCAACATCAGCATAACCAATCCCATATTGACCGAGAGCTAGCCAGATCACATTATATCATGATATGTTGGCATATCCTTGCTTGTAAGGGGTTAATGTGCCACATTCTAAAATAAAAACATATGTAAAAAACAAGTAAACCTTAATTTACTCTTTACTTATGTTTCGTGGATGTCGCAATTACCAAGAAAATTAGCCATTCATGTTTCACTTAAGATGCCTTTTTGTACTGAACATAATAAAAGCTGTTCTTAAATTAAATAATAATTTAGCTCCAGCCAATAGTTAAAAGAAATTATCTCATAATAGCTTAACACATCAGAAATCCAGGCTGCACACTGACGCTGGCATTACAGTTATTCACCAACTGAAGAGTATGTTTGACCTACAGAAACATACATTGTTCTGAGGATGATGTGTACGGGATCGAACGCCACAGGGACTTAGCTCACAGCGTTATTCTCAAATTCCATATTTCGAAGTGTAGCGCTATTAATCAGTGGCAGATGGGATACTGCCCAGTCTCCTTGAATTTTGCCACTGGAGAAGTAAATTTTTGCACATAAAAATAAACAAATAAATAAATAAAGGAAAATGTCAGCAGTATTAGTGGAAAAAATACAGTGTGTGTAGTAAGTTAAAAAATAGTTAATTTATTTTCTCTTCTGTACAGGAGAAAATGCATTGCTGCTAACAAGCAGTGATCAGCACAAAAAGCACAGTACACAAGGTTAAGTGACAAAACACAAACAGAGCTATTCACTAAAATGATAATTCAAAGTTATTCTAGGTGAGTTTCAAATTTAACAATTAGCTGAACGGAACGTTTCCATTTTATTTTTAAATCGGAAATCCACAGTGTATTCTCACGTCAGTCAATAGCCATGTAAATAGCTTTTATGCAACCTCCTTTAAGAAGGAAAGGTTTCATACTGGGACAAAAATCCCACTCTTTACGACATGAAGTAGAGGTGCACTAATGAAGTAAGTGCACTTTTTGGATGTAGTCTGTTTTTCCTCTGCTATTACATAGTCACATAGCTGAAAAGAGAATTGTGTCCATCAAGTTTAGCCTGTTTAACATATGTTTTTGCTGTTGATCCAAAAAAGGGCAAAAAAAAAAACAGTTTGAAGTGCTTCCAATTTTGCAACAAACTAGGAAAAAAATCATTCCTTCTTAATACCTGATTTGTAGTCAGATCTCTCCTTGGATCAATACGTTGTTACCCAACATATT